TTAAAAATTCTCGCTCCCAAAGATGCTTATCTTCTGCAAGGGGAGGCGTGTGGGTGGGTGGAAGGCAAGGTAAGCATGATACATCACGTACAGCTGAATTCCCAGCCAAACTCACAGCCTTAAGAATAAAAAACAGTTAATGAGTATCATCATAGTCAGTGCCCCAAATAGTGAGATACGGAATCCCATTCACTCTATCACGGCCATGACTGACATTTAATTATTCTCTATTTTTTGGTGCTTATAATTCCATTCTTATCATTCATTGTAAATCCTTTGGAACCCCTAGAAAAAGCGAGATCGAGTGACAAAACAAAGATAATGAAATCAGAGGCAGTAGAATAAAATTATATCTTGTAGGTAAAGCGATGATTCAGTAGAGCAAGTCATTTCATAAGGTTGTAGAAGATGGGGGAGGAATCAGAATTAATGTAGCAGGCTCTCAGGAGAGTTGAGAGAGAATCCATGAGTTAGGGGCACACAATAGATAGGAAAGTAGGGTGCTGTGGGAGGAACAGTTGACTAAGCATTGACCCAGCTGTGCTTCTGTCTAGTCTAGCTGTGTGACCTTAGGCATACACTTAACCCTCTCTGGGCTTTCCACTTTCTCACTGTAAAATGCCATCACATGCTTCATAGCATGACCTTGAAGCTTAGAAAGAGACACAGTGGCTACTCAGATGTAAAGATTGGACCTATTTCCTAGTATCAGAGGTAAAATTGAAAGACTCTGAGCAATGACAAAAGGAATGTTATATAGTCAGTTGAACCCAGAAGGCCTAAAATTATGAATTCCCCTGCTCTCTCCCAGCGTTACCTGTAGGAGCCATGTGCCCCAGCCAGCAACACTGTCCCCACTCTCCCTGACTTGCCACTAACACTGGGGAGTGAAGGTCAATGTCCTGGCTTGGCCAGCGAGCCCTGCTGAGAAAAGTTGGAAGAGAAAATGATCCCACATGTAGCTGTGGGAGCCTCTGAGCCCAAGGAAGCACACCTTGTTGAAAAGTCACTGATGTGGAGGTGCCGAGGTTGCTAAACCCAAGAAAGGAATAAGAATGGGTTGCCAACCAGGAAGAGGGTCAATTAAGGGGAGTTGAAGTGTGGAAGAAACCAAGGAATCAAAGATGTAAGAGTCAAGAGTGGGGAATGATGGGTACAGGGGGCCTATGGGAGGCTAGTCTGGCTTTGCAAATGGCTGGTTTTCAAATGTTCCAGTCAAAGGGGTACATCAGTGGGTACCTCCCCTTAACAGTCTAAAAATGCAAAGCCAATTGCATTGAATACCTGGCAAGAAAGCTTACCTGTCTTCCTCTTTGCTAATCTTTCCTCCTTTTTTTTTTTTTGCTGGGTGACTCTGCTTATGGTCAGGTTACATCTCTCTGGTTGCTGGTTTTTCTGTTTGGTAACAGATTACAATTCAGTCTTTCCCTTCCAGGAAGGTACTTTGCCCTTCTGCTCATGTGGCAGCCACGAGAAGGCTCCTGTCAAATCCCTGACTTCAGGAAGCATAATTAACTCATGGCCCCACTGCTGTGCTCTGAACCCAGCATTACGTTCATGCTGCCACCACTCTTTCCACAGCACCCCCCTAGCCGATAACTGAATGTGGCAGGGATACTGAGGCAGGCCCCTTCCTCGGAGACTGGGGCCTTCTGATGGGCGAATGTGGCGTGGCACTCCTTGAAAGCCTTGTCAAACGTCCCTTGGAACTGCCCAACAGCCTGAAATGCTTCTGTCCAGCATTCCGTCCTTCCTTCCTTCCCTCTCTCCTTCACTGGAGGTCAGGTCAGCATCAGTCTGGCAGCTCTTCCACACTCCCCCCTCCCCATTCCCTCTTGCCATCACCACCCCTAATGGATTTCCTGCATGTCCCATTCCATCTTGATGTCTGCTCCAAATTTGCACAAGTCACCCAAAAGAAGAGTTCCAAGAATGGATCTGAGCCCCACTCACAACCTAAGAAACGCATCCTCACATATGCTCTTGCTCAAGTCCAGAACCCAACATCATGCATCTCTTCTTTTTTAGGAAAAATTTCTACATTCCTATGAAGCAGAAAGGTCCCCATGATGGTGGAAGATGAAGTTCAACAGTAAGGAACAATGAAGGTCACTAACCTACTAGCTGGTTTCCTCCTCTTCCCTTTCCCTCTTCCTCTTCCTCTCCTTCCTATCTGCCCATTTCAGTCCTAAAGCTGTTCGGTGGGGCAGAACAAGGTAGGTGTCCACGCTGTGGTTGAGGATGGGGAGGGTCACAGTGACTCAGAGTGGGAGCCAGAGCCCAGCATCATGAGGACATCCATGTCAGGGTGTGTGGCCCTGCGTGGGGAACCCCAGCCCAAGAGGACCAGGGAGGGCCATGCATGGATGGGTGGCCTGAGTGAGGTGGGGAGGGACTTCCTCAGAGGGGAGAGGGTGAAGTGAAGGAGCACCCTGTGCATGGCCAGGCCTATGACGTCAATGCCAGAATGAATTTGGAGGGAATCTGTGTGGGGAAAGGGTACTGGTCAAGATCGGAGATGCATTATATACAAGAAGCTTGAACAAATAAGCAAATATATTTAGGATAATAGGATCTACGGTTCTTATTGTTAGAAAGGGGAGTTAAAAATAGAGGAAAAGAAAAAAAAATACAGGAAGAGAGAAAACCAGACTCACCCTTGGGGTGGTGTTGGATTACAATTGAAAGCACCATTGTGAACTTACCACTTTCAATATGTATGGACAGATCTAGAAATAATAGAAGTGTTAATGTGTGCGTGTGTGTGTGTGTGTGTGTGTGTAAATATTGTTCTCCCCTAAAAGAAACCAGGCTTCTTGGGGAAGTGACGGAATCCAGGACCAAAACAGGGAAAGCGTAAGATGGGTCCGGAACATTCGCAGTGCCAGAGAGCAAGAAGGCTGAAAGGGTAGTGAGCCAGCCAGGTCAAAGGCACACAGAAGCTAGCTGGAAAGGGCTCCCATTAGCCAAGTCAGGACAAGGTGAGCACCAAAATAAACAATGATTGTCATGGAATATAACCTATTGAATAAAACAGAAAAAAACATAGCAATAAGTTAGTACACTGAAAGTCTGATGCATACTTAAACAGTTTCAATCCCTCCTAACAAAATACTAATTTGTTTCAAAATCCCTCCTAACAAAATGCTAATTAGTTATATGAAGAGAAAGTCACTTTGAAGTGAAGGAGCCAAAGAGCTGCCACCTGAAGTGAGTGATCAAAGTGAACATGGGCAGAAATGGGACAAATAAAACTTGTGTGCCCCTGCTGGGAGGCAGTGAGAAGACCCGGCATCCCTTGTGTGATGCTCCTGCCGAAGGTGTGTACTCGGAATCTTATCTCTGGAGAAACCCCAACTGAGGAACTCTCCATGAAGTCGGTGGTCTGTAACCCTCACTCAAGGGAGAACCAGAGGACTCTTCCAAATAGGATGTTCATGAGACACCACACTTCTCTCGCTCCCTCTCCCTCCACCTTCCACCCGCTTGCACTCTCTCTCTCTCTCAGTAAATAAATAAAATCTTTAAATAAAAAAAGAGAGAGAGAGAGAAACTACATTGAAAGCAATGGTCCATTCCAGCCTGGCCCTGTTTGCTATGAACGACATTATTGAGAGAATTGGTGAGATTCAAAAGGTCCGAGGATTGTTAGTTATCGGATCTGGAAGGTTGTACTGTGGTTCCATGGGAAAATGTGCTTGCTCGTTGGAAATGAGCACCAATATATTCAGAGACAATAGGGGACTGGGTCAGTAATGGACACTCAGGTGGCTCAGAAACGAGTTCTTTGTGCACTACTGTACTTGCAACTCTTCTGTAACTGTGTGATTATTTCAAAATGAAAAGATATTTTTCAAAATGCCAGCTGATGGGAGTGCCTGGTGGCTCAGGGAGTTCAGCATCTGCCTTCAGCTCAGGTCATGCTCCCAGGGTCCCTGCTCAGCAGGGAATCTGCTTTCTCCTTCTCCCTCTCCCCCTCCACCCATGCTCTTGTGCAATGCGCTCTCTCTCTCTCGCAAATAAATAAATAAAATCTTTTTTAAAAAATTTAAAGAATAAAATACCAGCTGATGTATTGTAGGTGGGAGTGAAAACTGACACAACCTTTCGAGAAGACAACTGGGCATGAATCGTCTGAATTTAAAATGCACATTCCCTTGGACCATCAGTTCTACTGAAATACTCTCATTTGAGAACACAGACACATATACAGGGATATCCTTTGCAGTATAAAGTGTAATCAGTAGTAAAGAGATTAGAAACAATCAAAATATCCATTAATGGAGGACTTGCCAGATAGATTATGGTGCATACAAGTGATGGAATACTATATAATCTTGAAAAATAATTTTTAGAGTGAGCCAAGCTCCAAATAAATTGCTAAGTGAAGTGTGTGTGTGTGTGTGTGTGTGTGCATAAAAATATCTCTGGAAGGATATCCTAGAAATTGTTGAGAGTGGTTATCAGAAGAAGAGGGACTATGTACTTGTACACTGTTTGCATTTCTTTTTTCCATATTCATTTTTATCTTTTGAAAATGGTGGCCAAGTTGTAAAAAGGATATAGAAGAATTTGTTTATAAACTCTACAAAGAGAAAAATGTATCTACAATCAAGTGTTTGCCAAACTTCTTAGTTGTCCTGATCTGCTCAAACTCTTTGTCCCCACGCATACCGCTACTGCCCCATTTCACATCCATGACAGACATTGCTAATTGATCCCAGCACTCATTACCATTGAGCCCAGACACAGACAGTATCCTTCTCAGCCCAGACAGCCTAGCAGCTACTATGTATTCATCAGTTTGGTAAGAAAGGAGAAAGCTTTTACATCCCTATCCTTCTGGGAGCACTGAACAAAAGGGAACTCTTCAGAGGATGCCGTCTCTTGCAAAAGTCCAGGGGACTCTGGCCTCCAGCAAGCAAAACATCAAAGCACTGGGCCTGGTCTGGTCATTCACAGTCTAGCCCAGCCTGCTCACCATGCCTACCTGTCTGCTCCATCTGGAGTGGTGCCAGTCCATTCCTGAAACTTCGAGAGAACCTGGTTCCTGTCCAACTCACACACCGCAGCAAGGGCTCAGCAATGCCTTCAACCAACAGAGCCACATAGTTGTGCTACTTTGATGTGCTTTTGAATCCCGGGGAATCCTGTTGAAATGCAGACTCAGATTTAGGGTCCAGGAGGGGATGGGAGATTCTGCACTTCTCACAGGCTTTCTGCTGATGCCTCACATCTGGTCCTGGGACCACACTTTGAGTAGCACAGCCTTAGAGCAGTGGTTCTGAAGCATTAGCTGCAATCAGAATCACCTGGAAGGTTCAACGAAACACAAATTGCAAGACCCACCCCCAAAGTTGCTCATTCAGTAAGTCTGAGGTGGGGCCGAGAATTTGCATTCTTCACAAGTCCCCAGGTGGTCCAGAACAGAAGGGTGTTGTTTTCAAACATCTTGGAGTACATTCCTCTAGCAGCACCCGCTCTCTGTCCTCCAGGAAGCCCGTAGAGGGAAAGAAGCAGAGGATTTGGTGGCATTGGACACACCTGATTTTTTAAAAATTTTTTTATTAACATACAATGTATTATTTGTTTCAGGGGTGCAGGTCTGTGATTCATCAGTCTTGCACAATTCACAGCACTTACCATAGCACATACCCTCCCCAGTGTCTATCACCCAGCCTCCCCATCCCTTCCACCCCCCTCCACTCCAGCAACCCTCAGTTTGTTTCCTGAGATTAAGAGTCTCTTATGGTTTGTCTCCCTCTCTGGTTTTGTCTTCTTTCATTTTTCCTTCCCTTCCCCTATGATCTTCTGTCTTGTTTCTCAAATTCCTCATATCAGTGAGATCATATGATAACTTGTCTTTCTCTGATTGACTTATTTCGCTTAGCATAATACCCTCTAATTCCATCCATGTCGGTTGCAAATGGCAAGAATTCAATTTTTTGATGGCTGCATAATATTCCATTGTATATATATACCACATCTTCTTTATCCATTCATGTTGATGGACATATAGGCTTTTTCCATAGTTTGGTTATTGTGGACATTGCTGCTATAAACATTGAGGTGCATGTGCCCCTTCGTATTACTACATTTGTATCTTTGGGGTAAATACCCAGTAGTGCAATTGCTGGATCATATGGTAGTTCTATTTTCAACTTTTTGAGGAACCTCCATACTGTTTTCCAGAGTGCCTGCCCCAGCTTGCATTCCCACCAACAGTGCAGGAGGGTTCCCCTTTCTCCACATCCTCACGAACATCTGTCATTTCCTGACTTGTTAATTTTAGCCATTCTAACTGGTGTGAGGTGGTATCTCATTGAGGTTTTGATTTGTATTTCCCTGATGCCAAGTGATGTTGAGCACTTTTTCACGGACACACCTGATTTAAAACCCTCATCTGTCACACTAGGAATGTTATGTCAGGAAAGCCACTTAACTGTTCTGAGCCTCAGAGCCACTATCTGTGAAATGGGTCCAGCAGTGCCTCACCTCCAAGAGCTGATGTCAGGACTCAGGGAGCAAATGCAAGGAATGGGCTTGGCAAAGTGCCTGGCACATTTTAGTTCCCTTCTCCCCTTTGCCTCGGGGCAGGCATCCCACCATCCCAAGTGTCTGGAGGAATATTGGGTAAATCCCCTATATTCGTGCAGTGCCCCCAGGCAGACCTCCGATTTAGAGCCTGTTCACATTTGGTATTCACAGGTGCCCTCGGTGCTAACGTGGCACCAGCAGCCAAGTTTTCCCCTCAGAGTCGTCCCATTGCCCCAACCTAGTGCTGCTCCTGCGAAGTGGTCTCTGCTTCCTCCTGGCCACAGTCCAGAAGGCTCCTCTGCATTTATGGGCACTCATCTGAGGGAAGAGTAACTGCAAGGAACAGGAATCCAAGCAGATTTCCTTGGCCTTTTGTGGAAGCTTCCAGGCCCAGGGTCCTGCACGTCCCCCACCATCCTGCAACCCCCCAGTCACCAAATCTACAAACTTTGTTGCAATTATTGGCCACGGCCAAGTGGTGGGAAGAGAAGAAGGAGGTGCTGTGTGGCATGAGGTGGCTGGGGTTTTCAGTAAGGCTTTCCCTCTGTGTATCTCCCCAAGCAGTACAAAATAGAGGTGGAAAGAGCCCTTGACAGCACTGAAGCCTCCTTCAGATGTCTGGCCATTCTGGGTATGGTGTCCATTGGGGCTCACTGGGAACCTCCCCACCCTCAGACCCCTGGGTCCAGAATCTCATGGACCCCCCTAGAGGAAGGAGATCCACCATGGGAAGACCAGACATTATGGGGAATTTAGATAAGGGTGTTTCCAGGTAACTGGAAACCCTCTAATTACCAGAGCTTGAATCTCCAACCACCTGCCTCCCCACTTCACTCTGTGTGTTAAGAAGCTTTCCAGGGAAACTACACATTTTCACACTCTCTGCAGTAGAGGCGACAAACATAATTTATATTTGCCAACATGACTCAGGATCATTACTGGAACATCAATTAGTGTGTCTAATGGAACCACTTTGACAGTCTTCTTACTATCAGATCCACTAGCCCCATGAGTGCTTTTTATTTCATGCTCTTCTTAAGTCAGTTTCTCCCTTGGATCTCAGATTTGACAGCTTGGTTTTTTAAAACAAATATCTGATGGATTCCTGGTTTTGCTTCTTTAAGTCATCTATTCTAACTTGGAGCCAATTTTTTAACTGTCTTGGATACCTCTGGGTTTCCCATGAGCTTAACTCCTGCATAGAGAGAGGTGGCTATAACTAGATTGTGGGAGAATATGTCCTCCCTTGATCAATAATCCCGATCTTCAAGCACTTTTGGATTCTTGTTCCAGCTCTGCAATGTTTTTCACTCTTTTCGTTTCTACTAGATTGGTTTCAGTCACCTAATACTGCTTTCTTAAATACCTGTCTCTAGCTGTCACTTTCCTCCTCCAGGGTTTTCTGTTGCATGCTGTAACATCAGATAGCCAGGCACGTTAGAATTGTGCGTAAACAAAGAATTAGTAAGCTCTGAGTGAGGGCCTAGGTGGCTTTCCTAAGAATAAAGCACATGCATTTTGATTTGGGTTCATGCCTATTTTGGTGGCCCCAAGGCCTGACTCCCTGTATCTGCTCATAGTCTGCATAGCTCATGTGCTAAGAACCTTACTTTCTAAGTATTAGTTCAAACATTGTCACAGTACATGTTATTTTTATTCCACTAATCCCCATACAAGAGAGAAATATAGCCTCTTCCCTATAAGGGACACAGATAAGCTATTCAAATCAAACATGTGACAGATGCAGAAGCAGAAGCTCAAGGTGAAAATAAATGGCTTGCCGAAGATCTCACAACTATTTAGAGTCGATCCTGTGCTCTCTTGTATAGCTGCTGGTTCCCCTGGAGTTTTAGGACCCAGTCTGAAAAGGGATACCCTGTGTGATCTGCACTACATCATCCCATCAGACCTTAGAGGAACCAGGAATTACCTTCTCCATGTCTGGGAGATGGCAAAACCAAATCCAAAATGGTAAGGTGAGTTATCCAAAGTCAAATAGAAGTTGAGGGCCAAGACAGAGCCTGGAATCAGGGGTCCTGATTCCCAGCCGTCTCCAATCTCAATGCATCCTAGGCTCCTCTTTCGATTTTATCAACCACTTCTCAGAGAGAGATTCTATATGCTTGAGCAGGGAAAGCCAGGGGCAGTGCTGGTCAGGAAATAGCAGGATCTCTGGAAGAGACACTGGAGAAAGCCAAGACCGATCTGCCACTTTACTCACATCCTTGTCAAAACCCGGACACTTAGTCAATGGGGACTTGCTCGGCCAGAGAGAATGATTCAAAGTAAAGGACACAGAATGGTAAGTTCTTCACACAGTTCTGTTGGTGGACACTGAGAAGTTATCTTACCCCACAAAGAAGGCAGAAATGAGTAGGAGTCCAGCAGTCTTCAAGGTCGATCTCCTCAAAACCCGGGTTATTGCGATAGCCTCCTCCCCTTGTCTGTCTGCCTCCTCTCTCTCTTCTCCAATTTATTGTCCACGGTGCCATGAAAAATAAGCTTTCTAAATCACATGCTCAAAAATCTTCGACAACATTCTGTTGCTTATAGGAAAAAAAAAAAAAAAAGGCCAAACTCTCTATCTGGTATCAGAAGACATGCACATACTTAAATCACCAGGCTTTTTATTTCTCAGTTGTCCTCTTTGGGTAGCTCACGCCAACGTCCTCCAGTGGAAGTCCCTCAAATGCACTCCATGCTTTGTTATCTGGGGCCCCTGAACAGCAGTTTTCTCCGTTGCAACATCTTCTCCCCTTAGAGCCTGAGCCCCAAATCCTACCGATGCTCCCAGATTGGGAGAAAGTGCCCAGAGGTACTCGCTGCCTCTTCCAAATCCCTTCATATTTTATCTGTCCCTCTTTCCAGGCATTTATCACACTCTGTTCGGTATCACTATTATTTATAGAAATGTCAGATCTCAACTTTCAGACCATTTTTTTTAAAAGTAGGATCCTCTTCTGCTTTATTTTTACATCCTTTGCAGGATTTAGTGGTGCCCTGATCACAGGAGATTTATTGTGGCGGAGTAAGAACAGTGTGGAAATTTCAGCCACAGAGGCTTGGATTCAAATCCAGGCTCTGCTCCCCACTAGTGGCCGGGCCTCAGTTTCCTCCTCTGAAGGAAGGGAGCATCTCCTTTGCAGAGCTGTGAGATGAGCAAGTGAGGAGTAAGATGTCTGACATGGGATTTGTGATAAATTATTAGCTAATAACAAAATGGGCACATTAATTAGTATCTGGGGGAGGGGAATGAATAATTTGGGAGAATGTGTGAGACAGAGAGCCAGCTGAATTGGAATGGACTAGTGGGAGACCTCTTCTGATCAAAATGAGAAAGCCTAAGGAATGGTGCCCCTCCTTTCGTCCTTTCCCACCCAAACAGGACAGCGTCCCCAGATAGATACCCCGCCATCCCGTGGCTGATCATGTACTTCTTCCAGTTTGGGGCAATGCCTTTGTGGATTTCCTCCCAGCCCAGGATCCTCTCCCTAAACCCCAGGCTGCGGGTGCTTAAATATGGCCCCCAGATGGCTCTGAGAAGGAGGGGGCGGCCCCACCCCGCCCTCCCCCTCCTGCCCGCCGCACCCACCAGGCCCAATGAGAAACAGGTGATTGCAGAGGGTACTGGGAGAGACTTTGATCAGCCGGCTGCACAGAAGCCAGCTGAGCCAAGAAGGAATAGTGTCAGATTTATTGCGGCCCTGAGAAGTACAGATATTAGGTTGGCTGTAGCTCACTGACCTCTTCAGGCTTTCCATTTTGGTCGGAGATTTATTACCTCCTTGGCTTTTTTAATTCCCAGGGATCTGTGCCTTTAACATTTCTGCTCAAGCCCCCCAATTCACAAGGACTTCCTGTTTGCCGAGACCACAGATAAAGAAGACACAAACCACAGAACACCAACACTATGTAATTTTTTTGTTCCTGACTCCTTAATTTCTCAGCCATCCTAGGTGTTCTGTCAAGATGCAGTCTGAAAGTCTAGACCGAGAGATATCTATGATAGAAAATGTACATCAGTATTTCAAGTCCTCTGAATTTATTCTAGCCATTTGACAGTTGCTTGGAGATACAATCTCAATTTTTTGCAATGGCCCCTTCAGCGAGATATTTATGGCAGATACAACTGTAATTATTTACCTGTAACAAAGTCCAGGTCTGTCTGCTCCAGGTGACTCAGGCAGCAGAGGGACAAGGAAAGATTCATCTTCCTCTTGTCCAAAAGTTGACCTTTTGCCCTCAGGTCCCTGCCCCACTCCTTATAAAAATTCTGATGCCCTGGGCACGGGCCATTTCCCCATCCTCTTACAGATACCAATATTGAAATAGGTGGACCAAAAAAATAAACACATGCCAGATAGATTTGGTGAGCTCCTCGAAGACATCAAGAGTGTGTTTCATTTTCTCTGTTTTCTGGTTCCAACTTACACGGGGATCAAGTCTCCAGCAGTATTTAGAGCTTTGACTTTTTCCTGCAAACAGATGCAAATTAATACATGACAGTGAGTGTTGGCCCCCAGAATTGTCCCCTGCTGAGATGGTGCGGAATATTCCAAAGCTGCAGTCAGGCAAGAGAGCTTCGTGCCAGCCCGGTTTGCGTCCTCCTGGGCTGCTGATGTCTGTCTCTGGTCTTTCCAGTCCTGTTTTACTTTTACCAGAAAAGGTTTCCCAAAGTGATTGCCCAGCGTAAGGACAGACAGAGTTTGCAAAAAATGCTTTTGGAAAATCATAATCTATCTTGAAAAGGCAACGGCTTGGCAACACAGACCACATCCATAAGCCTGAGCTGTGGACCCCGGGACTATTCCAAAGAGAAGACAAAGATTTTTTCTTCCCTGAGCTGAAACAGCAGGGAGGGAATAAATGTACCGCCTGTCTCGGGGACTTTTCTGCAGCACCAGCATCCACTTGAAAGAATATAAAAATTCCTGTATGTGTGGAAAAACAAACAAACCAACCCATTTCAGCTACGTTTATTTATATTCTTAACTAGTGTGCTTTTGTTTTGGCTGTTGTCACTCGTCCTCTCGCTGGAGGCTCCAGGAAGGAAAGACATTTGTGTGACGTGCAGGGCTCCGCGGTGGTGGTGGCAGTGAGATTTCTGCCCCTTGGCTCTTATCCTGGCATTTACATGGTGCAGAATCTTCTCGCCATCACGCTGAGAAGACTGAGCTGCTGCATGGTTTAAGCACACAGACACAACCCTCCAGCTTGCCTGTCTCAACGTGATGGCGAGAAAAGTCTAGCTTAATCTACCCCCTCCCCCGCCCCGTTTCAAAATATGAAATGCACCCTGGAAAGTTTGCGAATACCTCCAAAGGGAAAGCCAGCAAGGACCACCTAGAGTCAAGCGATTGAGTTCTTTTGGGGACTGTTTTACCTAAGCTTCTAGTTAACATATTTGCAATCAGCTGAATGTATCCGTTTTTATTTGACGTTACAGGACGCACACCTTCAGATCTTAGGGAAAAGTCTTTGTGCTCATCACTTTCAACAGCTGCACTGCTTCTCTTTAAGTGGATGTCTCTCTGCCTTGCTTCATGGGTGTCAGATATTGATATTGTTGTTTCTCCGATTTGTTACTATTTCTTCTTCAGGACTCTTAATATAGGAGCAGCCTAGGGAGTACAGAAGGAAAGCTCGGTGTCTCAGGGGGACAGCCAATATTCCCCGGATCCACTCTAGATAGAGCCGAGGTCTGGGCCCAGGCACAGGGTCTGTAGTGACAGATGCTCCTTGGGGACCCTTGGGGTCCTGTTGTGAGGGGATCTGTCAGGCTTCTGACTACTGAGTCAGAGGAGCCCCCCACCGTCCAGAGACCAAGGCTTCCCTTGGGTCCCACCTGGGAAACCAGCTGGGTTGACTTTCCGCCATGGGCCCTCTGAAGTCTTGCTCAGTCTCATGTCGAAACAGGATCCGAGTGGTTTGTCCCCTGGTGCCCTAGTGGGTTTATCCTAGATCGCTGGCCCTTGCATCACGGCCCAGGGGGTGCTCCTGTCTTTCTAGAGAAAATCACAGCATATCTCAGTAGTACATTATGGGGCCTGGACTGGAGCTAGTGCTTAAGAGGTACCTGGCCCCTTCTGCAGGCAAAACTCCCCTGTGAGCCACAACCACCCAGTGCCATCATAAGATCTCTGTTACTTATAGAAGGAAGCTGGCCCAAGATGGGTTTGTATTGAGTAATATAACGGATGTACAGAAACATGGTTACACCGAAGGTAATAACATTTATTGCTGTGAATGGAGAAGCTACACAATGCTGGACATTGTGCAAGGTGAGGGAAACCAGCTTCCCCAAGACCACACAGCAAGGGGGCCCCTTTGCTGGGTTTAAATCCTCATCCGCTGACGTCAAAGCCCTCCAGCACTCTGTCCAGGCCAGAAATCTTTGGAATTATCTAGACTTGTTTTACAGACAAGGAGCCCAAGACCTCGAGCAGGAACGTTGTGTGCCTGTTCGTCCCAGTTTGTCGGTGACAAAATCGAGTCTCCAAAATCTGTCCAAAGCTGATCACTTGGGAGCAGTTGAAAATAAACAGTTTGCAGATGACGGGAGTCTGGGATGCGGGGGAAAGAGCAAAGGCCCCCTCAAAGGAGCATCCATTTGTTCTCCCAGGCACTCTGAGGGTTTTCCACTGTGTTCTGCGTGCTCCCGAGCCCTCTGCCTCCCCGGCCTGCATGCATGCCAGCCTGTTTGTACTAGAACAGCACGTTCCCATGAACTCCTTTGCCAATTCACCCCAAGCAGACATTCCAAGCTGGCCTGGGGACCTGTCAGTCGGTGATCAATTGGCCCGTCACCATCACCAGAGCCTTTAGGAGATTAGCCAGCCCGGGACAGGTGGATCTGGTTTCCAAGCTAGGATCTGCGGTGACTCCTTGGAGTCTTGCTGGAGGGTGGGCCCTGGGAGGGAAGAAGCTACTGCGGGCCTCAAAGCCCCAACAAATCTTCCCCCCAGCTGGGGAGGGCACCAGACAGTCCGACACCCTAGCTGAACCGATTTGGCACACCCACGAGCAGCTGACGTTGCTCCCCATTTTCCATGGTGCATCTTGAGAAGCTGTGGGCCTAAGCCTTCCTGGGTGGCAGGGTGGGCACTTGGAGCCGATGGGGTTGCGATCCTTGTTAAGCCCTCAGGAAGTAGGAAGAGCATGGCCTCATCTTGCATGTGTAGCCCATTTTTCCCAAAGAGCTTTCATACCCATTCCCTTCCAGAGATGCTCTGCTTACAAAAGCACTGTAAGTATATTCGAGAAGGGATTTGGCCAACGATGCAGGAAGGACCCAGAGGGGAAAGGAGTGCCTGTGGGTCATTGCCATCAGTTGGCCAAGTGGGCACAGGGTCTGCCTTTCCTCCTCTTGGAGCGTTCTTCTTAGAAAAGCTTCCACTCTTCAAGCTGTCTTGTTATCTGTATTCTGGGGACACCCTGATTAAAATTCTTCAGTGGCTCCCTGTCACCTCCATGATTGAGTGCAAACTCTTTACCAGGGTATATGAGTGCTGTGTGACCTTTTCTCCCACCTCCAATTCCCTGAACACACCAGGGGACTCAGTGTCTCTGTACATTTGCCTAAGTTATTCCTTCTTTTTGTCATGCCTTCCCTTCCCCTATCTCCCTGGAGAACTCCTATTCATTCTTCAAAACCTTACCCAGGCATTATTAGCTCCTCTTTGCATATCCTTGAGGCATGCTTCCTCTGGATCACTTCCTAACTTTGTACATCTGTGAGGTCAAAGCCCACATACATAGAGGGCTCTCTCCCATTCATTAGGCTGAAAGACTATTCTTATGGTAACATTTGGAACCCAAAGCATGGCACAGTGCCTGACACATAACACATACTAAATAACAGCTTGCATCCTTGGCCTGTAAAGAGGATTCCATTGGCACGAATCTTCTGAGGAGTTTGGCCCAGGAACTGGGGAAGGGAAATACTCTATCATACATCTCTACTTAGGGCCCAAGAGGTTTAGCATGGCATTGTTGTGGGGACGACAGGCTGGGACAGAGGCTGGCTCCTGGCAACTTGGAAGGCTTCTTTGACCCTCATTCCTGAGCTCTGAGGTTACAAATGGCATCCCTTGTGGAGCAGGCTAGGTCCTGGTTGCAGAGCCAGGTGCCCGAGCCCATCCCCCAGCTGGGTCTGTCTCAGTCCACACTTGGCTCTATGTCGCTCCAGGTTCACCTCAAACATGGCGGCAACAGTAGATGACCAACCTTCATGGCGTTAACTTCCAGGTTGACGTGCTTCCTCCTGACCCTGGAATCACTGCCCATTTTCTAGATTCCTTCAGTTCTGCTCCCTGATTTGTCCTACCCATTGACAACCACTATCCCTTTCTATCCATGATTTCCATTCTTGTCTTTCTTTCAAGCCTCTCTCTCTTGGCCATGTAATCACAGACAGTTTATGGTCTTCTTTAAAGGTATAGCCCCGGGGTAGAACTTCCCCAGTAGTACAGGCCAGGCTAGCCCACCCTCTGTATTTTCTCATCCCAGGACAGCTGGGGGGGGGCATGGTCCAATCTAGCAAAGGGCTTAGAAAAAACCATGCCCGAACTCTAAATTGAGGGATTCCACTGCTATTACTTACAGCCTTGGAGACTGAACCCCAGCTCTGCCTTCCTCAAGCTCTTTTGGCCATTGTCCACCAAGATCTGGGGATTAGTAAAGCAAAACACCCTATTTGGGGTCTGGGTGTCTCAGATGTTTCCTGCTGCCCAGGGAAGATTTCCAGCCTGGGCGAAGGTCCACCAAGTCTGAGAAATTTGTCTGAATCCATCAAAGTCATATTGGGACATAAAACTCAAAACCTCTCTCCCCAGCAGGAAGGCTCCACTCTGCCAAGACACCAGCATGCCCTGCCATCAGCAATAATTGCCGACACGAATGGAAGGACCATGTGAGATAAAAAAGATTTTAAATTGTTCAGCCACCCCAAATCGTCCGTGGCCATGATATGGGTGTCAGTGAGAGGTGGGGAAGGAGACCTCCCTCTCTGAGATTTACCTGCCACCCACACCGCCTGAGTTCTAGAACTTTTGTTATCTGTCGTCCCCTCCATGCTGTGCCTGGGCTGTTCCTTTCTCAGCCTAGTTAAAATTAACCCCTCTGTGTCCTTGGCCAATCTGCAAAGGGGAGCCATTAAACAGTAGAAGGCCATCAGAGAAACAAATGGAAGAGAAGAATTATTTATATTTGCCATTGTATTGTTTTTGAGCTCCCAGGAGAAATATTCCCAGGTACTGTAGAATTATCTTGAGCCTTTATTTTATTTTATTTTATTTTATTTTATTTTATTTTATTTTTTAAAGATTTTATTTATTTGAGAGAGAGAGAGAGCACTAGCAGGGGGAGGGGTAGAGGGAAAGGGAGAAGCAGACTCCCCGCTGAGTGGGGAGCCCAGTGCACGGGGCTCTACACATGGGGCTCAATCCCAGGACCCTGGGATCATGACCTGAGCTGAAGGCAGATGCTTAACTGACTGAGCCTCCCAGGCACCCTTATCCTGAGCCATTTTAAGTGGCTCAAAACACTGTTGTTAAAAGGCATCTCTTTCTTTGATAAAATATGGGCATCAAGGGCATGAATATTAAACAAATATCACCTCTAGAGAGGAGAGCCCACCTGAATCCGTCATTGACCCGCCTTGTGGACCACCAGGGCTGGATGCTGGGGGTCAGGGCATGGGATGGGGGAAGGTGAGCAAAGAGAAGTAGACAAAGGTCCATTTGACGAAGTCAGAGTCTGGGGAGACAAAAAAAGAAGGTATGAAAAAGCCAACAATGACAAGGTATCAACAGGCATTTTGGAGTTCAACTGTCAGCACCCCAACAAGCTTCGTCAAAGGTGGGACACTTCTGGGAGGGCTGGGCCCCAAGCTCCGCAGGATCCGACCTGGGAGGGAAGAAAGACAGGGCCCTGGTACAAGCTACGGGATCAAGCTGATGGACCAGTGAGGGCTGCCAGAGAAGGCACTCAGTGCGGGCTCAGGCCTGATTATTCTGGCCTCCCTTACTGGCCCTGCTGGGGTGTTTGCAATGGACATTCTTCTCCTATGGCTAGGCTAACCCCTGTGCTTTACCTCGTCTATTTGTTTATATGTTTTGGTTGAATTAATCAATGAATGGGTGAAGGAGCAGACTTGAATGGTGAGTAGGAGTTCAGTGGGAATAGGAGGAGTACTGAGTGCAAAGGCCCAGAGGCTGCGAACATCAGGCCTATCTAGGAGACCACGTGGTCGGTGAGACAGGAATATTCCAGGTGGGACCTAGGAGGGTCAGGACTGGGGGGCTGGGCAAGGGCCCCATCCTGGAAGGCCTTACAGATTTTGTTATATATTTTAGCCACTTCCAGGAAATATAGAAATATTTGCTTTGTTTTTATTCCATGTATTATCTGTCTTTACGAATACCAGTAAGAAGGTGGGATTTCCAAGTCGGTTTTGGTGGGTGAGGGACCAGGGAGCAGACAAGGATCCCCTTCTCTGAGCATGAATCCCAAGCAGCCCCAAAGTTTTGGCATTGGCGTCTATCTGTGCCTTTGCATGATTCTCCGGATGTAGAGCTGGTGTGTTCAG